CATCCTCCTGACACCCACCCTGAAGATATTTATAAGCATTTCTAAGGTACCCTCTCAGCCTTCTCTTCTTCAGGCTGAACAAGCCCAGCTCCCTCAGCCTTTCCTCATAGGAGAGATGCTCCAGTCCCCTCACCATCCTCGTAGCTCTCCTCTGGACTCTCTCCAGTAGCTCCTCATCTTTCTTCAACTGGGGAGCCCAGAACTGGACACAGTACTCCAGATGAGGCCTCACCAGGGCAGTGTAGAGGAGGAGGAGAACCTCCCTCGTCCTGCTGGCCACACTCCTCTTGATGCACCCCAGGATGCCATTGGCCTTCTTGGCAGCCAGGGCACACTGCTGGCTCATGGTCAACCTGTTGTCCACCAGGACACCCAGGTCCCTCTCCGCAGAGCTGCTCTCCAGCAGGTCTGCCCCAAGCCTGTACTGGTGCATGAAGTTGTTCCTCCCCAGGTGCAGGACCCTGCACTTGCCCTTGTTGAACTTCATCAGGTTCTCTTTCATAACCTGGCTGAGGAAGGTTAATCTCTCTATACTTTGTGGACATCCTAATTACTTAATGGGGAGACAAACTGATGTGATATGATTAATAAAAGTATACCAAAGATGCTGACATATTCAAGTATTGTGAAAATGTTCAATACTACGATGCCACGCATGCAGAAACCCACTGTCACTCTCGGAAGCCTGGAGCATGTTTAGAGCACTCTAGCTGAAGAGTAAAAAAGGGGTGACAAAGGAGCTAGCAGCAACAGATCCACTTAAACAAACCTTCAGAACCAGCAAGTCTCTGACTGTTGTCGTGTCTTCTGTCACTAACTTCCTTCCAAACTCCCTGGAAGCACTCCAGCAGGCAAAGACCCTTTTGGATGAGACACCTCTTCCACTAGAATTAGATAAATTTAGTGCGTCTGTCAGAGGTGTATTCCTCCCTCCTTGTACCAGTCTGCTGCATGAGCTTTGAGTTCACTACTTTAGCAGCAATATCCCCTTACCATCCTAAAATCCTTAGATGATGGCATATGAAAACAGAGACTAATAAAAACATCAGTTGTTGACGTGGACAAAATTGCAACAGACAATCCAGAAGTGGTCAGGGGCTAGAAGAAATGAATACAGAATGAATATGTGTCCTCCTAGTAGGAAAAAATACCATTTTCTTATAAATTGAAAAAACACGTAAGGAAAAAAATCAATCTAACACTACCTCTACGAAGTCTGTCATCTTCTCCGCTCCTCTTCTGTCATTTTGCACAGCATTGTAGGACGTGTATACACGTGGCTGCTTCATATGTTCAGGCCGGGTAGCAGTGCCATGCAAAATCAATTTCCAATTTACAATCCTTCCTTCATTTTGTATTCTTCTGGACTAAAGGACAAGCATGGCATTAGCACAGCTTCTCAGGACATACGAGTAAACAGGACACTTCATCGTCAAGTAGACAGAAGTGACTACAATAAATTATAATGCTTCAATATCTAAATTTAGACAATGATTTATAAGTATCAAAAGACTGATATATTAGACAGGATATATCAGAAAGTGGGATTTAACACAAGGGCTTTACTACTCCAACTATTCACATTTTGATGCAACATAATTATTAATTAATCGTGTAAGCATCAGTGGAATTTTGTCATAACACAGAATGCTAAAAATTACTGCAGTAGTATTTTGTGTTACAAGTATTCGTTCACTAAGCCATTCCTTGGCAACTTCCTCACAAAAGTTGCCACTGGAATAGTAATTTGGAATAATATTCTGTACTGGTGCACAACAGCAATCTGAAACACAGCTTGTGGAAGTGAGCAACAAATGCTTTGTCCGTTCGTTTTGGCAGTGGTATTTAAATAGTAGAAAGTGGAAGAGATCAGTACCGAGACCACTGAAACTTCATTTTACCAAAGCTTCTTTCAGAATTTTTGCTCAGTCATTTAGTGACTAAAGATAGCTGTTGTTTTCTATATAGTAGTCCATACCAAAGTTTACAAACACAACTTACATAAGACCTAAATTACAAGTAATCTTTTTTTTTTTTTTAATGGGAATTATGTGATTTACAGGAATCTGTGATTCAGCTAGGGTCAATAACGTGAAAATTTATTTCAAGCTTCATTTATTTTAATTTTCAGGAATCTTTCACTCGAAAAAGGAAAATGAGAGATAATTGCAAACAAAATGCTCTTAACTTCGTTCCAAAAAATGCATTATATTAATTACAAAGAGCAGGATATCTGTAGCCACAGGGTTATCTATAAGCCTGCACCATTAACACTACGTTGTTGATAATAGTATTTACTTCTACTGCCTTGTCCATCTGTTTAGTACTTGGCATTATCCTCATGTTTACACTTGGAGGCCAATAGGGGTTGGAGGCTCAGTGTCTGATAGGAAGCATTCAGTTTCTGTCAGGATCTAACTGTTAATGACAAGCTTATTAACAGACAACTTCAATGAAATTCTCCAGAGATGAGTGCGCTTGATCACTCTCTCTTTGAAGAGAATGATTTTTCAGTTGCCTATCAAGCAGCTTTATTGTGGTGTCTCGCTGTTGTAATCCATATACCCAGGTGGTTTTAGTAAACTTATTTATTCCATATGTGTAGATTTCTTTGCTTTAATCCTTAAATGCTGTTCAGCAGTAATTACTCTGAGAAAGAAGTTAGGGAAAGGTATACATCAGAATAGCTCTCTAAGGTCACCAGAAATTCATTAATGCAAAAGGTTTTGAGTTAATGCAAATTATGCACATGCACCAAGAGAAGACCAGATCTATCCTGTGCTCTCTTCTGAAGAAAAACCTAATTTGCAGTTAATCATATGTTAATTCAATTACATATCTCACTCCATGAATCACAGAAAATTATACTAAGTGATTTCTTTCAGTGACATATAATGCGTGAAAAACATAGGCATAAATTTTTTTTGACAGGTTCATGTCCATGAAATGAGGATGGTCCTTTGCAATTACATAAAGAAAATCTGACCCTATGTTATTTCTTTAATCCAGATGGATATATAGGGTAAATAAACTCTTGTTGTAGCATGCTTAATGTGAAGACTCACTATTCAACATGCCTGGTAGTAGTTTGTGATCATTTTATTTGTGTTAGCTGCCAAACATGGATAGTTAACATACAGACATACTTACCTCATCAGTAATTCTTAAAACCCAGGTGCCTGTTGGATTCTCTCCCCACGTGTGGACAGACATGAAGTCCCAGTTCTTAAAGCCATTGGGAGATTTATCTCTCTCTCTCTCAGCCAGTAAGACAGTGCTGGTCCCTGTGTTAGTGGAAGATTTACAGTAGTGACTGTTCATACATATTCCCTTTTCACATTGCTCAGCTTGCACATTATCTGGTCCATCGGTAACTTGGAAAATACACTGTTTAACAGCGGCTTGTGGAATGGAAAATATGCTGTTTCTGATCAGTGGTTCCTTCAGTTATTTTCACAGCAGTATTTGAGAGCATAAAAACTATCACATTACACCATAGCGAAAAGGTACATCTTGCTTAGTGCTCAGTCTCCAACACAAAGAAGTAGTGGATGCACATAAAGAAGCATGATAAAGAGAGGTCAGACACAACCAGTATTCTCCACTGATAAACAACTCAGTAAACGTCTGAGATGGAAGTTTTGAAGGAAAACCAGCTCATGCGGTATCGTGAAACCAAAGCCTTACCCTGAATTCATCACCGTATTTTTTATTTTTCAATGGATGTAAATTGTTCCAGCCTGGAACTCCAACTGGGTGAAAAGCATTTGCATTGTTATTATTATCATTACAAAAATGCTGCAGTTTACAAAGTATTAGAGCAGCACAAGAGATTCCACTGCACAGTAGGAAATCTGTTGTGCTTGTTTGCATACAAGGAGAGAGCAAGGGAGCTACATTTACATAGCAAGGAGAAGAGAAGCCCCAGGCAGCCTGATCACAAGCTATAAATATATTTAACAGTAACACCATAAATATAGAAAAGGAATGACATACATTTGGTAGTACTGTTATGGAGGAAAGTGGAAAAACAGCAATAACCAAGGTAAAGAACAGTTTAACCATGACAGCAACTCAATGCAACAGTGGAGGCAGCAGGACCTCACGATTGCCACCTCAGCTAAACCCACAGGAATAGACACAAAGATGAAGAACACATGACGTCACCATTCTTTCGAAAAGGGGTGTTTTTCCAAGATGAAGCCATGCTTCCTACACATTAGCAAAATGGTGTCTTGGGAGAGAAATACCTCTGTAAAAGCAGAATGACACCTACTGTTGCTGTCATCTCCACAATGTATAGAATCATAGAATGCTTTGGGCTTGAAGGGACCTTCAGAGGCCATCTAGCCCAGCCCCCCTGCAGTGAGCAGGGACATCTGCAACTGGATCAGGGTGCTCAGAGCCCCATCCAGCCTGGCCTTGAACGTTTCCAGGGATGGGGCCTCCACTACCTCTCTGGGCTATCTGTTCCGGTGCTTTACCATCCTCAGTGTAAAACAATTTCTTCCTTACATCTAGCCCAGATCTGCTCTCCCTTAGTTTAAAGCCATTGCTCTTTGCTCTGTCGCAACAAGCCCTGCTGAAAATATTTTCCCCATCTTTCCTATAGGCCTCTTCAGGTACTTACTCCCAAAATAAAACTTAGATCTGAGATGGAATCAAATTTGAAAATACCACCAAGGGCAAAACACCTCACAGCAACATCACTCCCATAAGACAAAATGTAAACTCAGCAAAGGAAGAATTAAGGTAAGGCTTAAAAGGAATCCCAGACAAGGTAGGGTTTAGAAACCTACTGTATGTACAGTATCTTAACCCTGTTCTCTAGTGAGGTCCTGCAATAATGATACGAACAAGGCTCTACCGGTTTATTATCTGTGAATTACTAGATTTGCCTTTAATACCAGTAAATTAGATTAGCCTGATGTTTAAATTCATACCTGAAAGCCTGCCTGTTTTTTCTATCAGTTGATCTAACAGATCTTACTTGCTACAAAGTTGTTCATACTCATTCTCCACTCTTTTTTCTTTCTCCTTACGGTGTTATTTACTGAACTATAACATCTTGTCTGCCACAAACTCTCAGTTTTTATAGGTCCTGTTCCCAGAACGAAAACTTACTAGAAACGGTGCCTTCATTTCCTGAAGTACGATTTTTCAACCTGCAAAAATTACCCAGAACACATGAAGGCTGGAAAAGGGTTTCAGAGAACCAGTTCTCTAGTCCCTAGGGTGCTTTGTCCTCACACTCACTTGCTGGAGATGACTAGATTTGTCTAACAATATATTTAGGTCTTTTTAAACCACTGAAGAACACAGAGGTGGTTTTTAATGAAATAAATGTTACACACTACAGCAACACAAACAAAGCGTGTCTTTGCGTCCCGTACCTGATGGAGATACCAGAGTGACATGAAGATCACCTCTACGTGAATACTCAATCGTTGCCTCAAGCTGCACATGCTCCAGAGATGCAATGGAGTTTTCTTGACCCTCACAGGCTTTTGTGGGAATTTCAATGATGACTTCCTCATTTGCTCTTAATAATCTGGCAAAATTACAGCAGCTCTTTGATTACTCAACGAAAATTTTGATTCTGGACCATTATGTGAAGTGCAAATGACACATTTAACACCCTTTTCAGAAGGATGAGAAAGGAAGAAGTAAAGACAAATTCTACATTCATTGTTTTTTTGAATGATCCAATAAAAACCATGGGAAGTTTTGGAAGCACAGATAATACGAAAGTGGACCAAGTGACAGGCACGGCATAATCACAGAATCACAGAAAGTTCGGGGTTGGAAGGGACCTCTGCGGGTCATCTAGTCCAATCCCCTTGTGCCAGACACCCTGGTACCCAGCAAGAGAGTCTGATAATCAAGGGTTCCTGTCAACACTTCGTTGTCCCAGAAAGACTACAAAAAAACAAAACCAGTCTGTGCTGTCAGCTGCATCACAGGACTGTAATAGACTTCTACTTCGATCCCTCTTTCAAATATCCTGAAGAGCTGTTATCACGGAGTTAAAATACTGCATCAGGCACAGCCTTTTTAACCTTCGTAGTCAATGCCATCTCAAGGAAAAAGCTTACAACTTCTATACATTCTCTACACAGAGAGGTACCGCGCATAGTTTTCTCTGCATAATTTCCATTACTTCTAATGATAAAGGTGTATCTAAATCTACACGTGAACAGTTCTAATCTCAGAATCTTGGGATCTTTGTTTCTATAACATAACATAGAGGATTGCAGTAAAAATACATAAACAGCAAGTATTACATACATCAGTACTGGATCAGCACTCTGTGGAAAGGAGAGCGCTCATAAAAGCAAATTGACAGGAAAATAGCATAAATAACAAGGTTATCAGGCAGTGACACTCCAAAACACTGTAATCTGTTTCTACAGACAGATTTCTGGTGCACTCACACAGTCTAATTTCGATCTTTGAAATAGCCATATTTTTTCTAGACAACAAACCCTAAGTGAACAAGTAGAGATAAAAATGCTGTAGATATCCTTACTGATGGAGATATCCTTACTGATTAGCTTAAGTGACTAATTATAAGTTAACTGTATGCTGAGCTCAGTTTAGGCTCACCATGCTGGGAGCACTTGTGAATGTGGCTGCTAAGTCTTTTTAGTGAGCCTTTGAGGCACTTGTATTCATGAGAGATGTGCTACGGATGTGACTAAAGCTCAGTATATCACCTTGATTTCAACTCATATCATGCCTGTCACAGGAGAAGAATTGCTAAGACCGATTACAGATTTTTTTTAAAAAAATCTCTGGGAGATTTTTCTATCTTTTTGTTCATCTTCTGATAGCGGTCTAAACATTCCTACCTTATCTGACCAAGTCCAGTCTCACAGTATCATCCATCCATACGCTGGCTGCACAAGCAGACATAATAATCTTATTCTTTGTTAAGGCTTCATGCTAGTAATTTCCATCAGTCTTACACTAAAAAAAGCAAGCAAAGCAATGCTGCTTGCCTGCCCCTGAGGAATACAGTAAGGCAAAACCAAACAAATCAAAAGAAATCTCTGGGTGTGGTTCACAGTAATCTGTGCAGAATACTATCCTTCGGGCTTTACTAGATAGATGTAAGCTTAGCCACTGCTAATGCAAATTCTTACCTTGGTTCAAAGCTTTTGTCTTTGACAATACACTCTCTCTTTTCTGGTACACCTTTCCATCTTTTGGGATCAGCTAAATCTACCAATGCATTGGCATTGAGTAGTCCAAACCCAAATCGGCTGTTGACCATCAGTCCCGCTCCATTCTTTTTCCATCCTGGATTTCCAGCCAGTGGATCATATTCTGAGGTCCACACTACCAAGTGCTGCATATCCCTCCATGTTAGATTTGGGCTGTTGAGAAAATGTCCCTGGTTAATTGTTTCAGGACTACCTGCCATTTTCTCTCAATCATCAGTCCATAACAGAACACGCTTTGAAGGTATATGGCATCCCATTATTTTAAAATACAGACCATGTCGCATCCTTGTCCCCACAATACTTCTCCAGGTAGACAAGACTTGTGTGTAAATGAAGAACGGGTATCTAGCAGGATTAGAGTCCAATTCTTCAAAATTACTCAGGCATTTCATTACCTAGTACCTAGTAGTTCCCTTCAGCCTTTACGGGATCTGGACTTTGAAAATTCGCCAGGTATTTGATTCCATCTGTGACTAACTCTATCCTTTAAAATATGGCCCTAAGTATCGTGGCTTATGTCATCAAAGGAGTATGCAACAGAACATGGAGCTGAACCTACACCATTCAAGTACTAAGCCTACACTCTAATGCCAGAAGTGCTTTCTGTGAAAAAGATGTTGTCCTGTCCTGTCCTGTTCTTTCTTACCCTCTCTAAGTCGTACATTCTGACTACCAACCCTGCAGGATCTGAACCTGCCTGCTCCCTGCCTGCTCTGACAGTCAAGCTTGGGTACCTTCCATATTAAGTCTCATCCCTGGCAGAAAACGTTCTGTAAATTGACTAAAGACATAATTAAAATGCCTGCAACCTACTGTCTCTAAAACACGTTCTTCTGATACATGTGCAGCCTCACTACTTTTAAGTGCCATTGACCAGACTTTAGTAAACAATTGTTGCCAATGCACAAAATGGACTAAATTCCCTTGGTCATCACGTTTTACTTACATTGGTTCTGCTTTACTAGAAGGTGATGAGGCAAGTAGCTGCTTATTTTTGTCATCAGGCTGAGAAAGTCTGACTGACAAAAAGTGGAGCTACAGCATGAGATGGTGCTACTTTCAAATAGACAACATTTCGGAGGAGATGGTGGGGTGGCTGAGAGAGAGGAGTTTCAAAGGTAATTGTT